AACCAAACAAAACACACTGCCATGTGTGTACCTATGCAACTGTATTTCATGCTCTGCACATGTACCCCAAAACCTAAAATGCAATTAAAAAAAGAAAAAAAAAAAAGAAAAAAAAATCCCTATTTCAGATGGCATGAAAACGAATCTCTTTTTAAGTAGTACTTTTCTTTTGAATGTGTCTGGCTGAAAACAGAAAAAGTCAAAATTTAAGATCTTCATTCTGCAACTGAATGCTTGAGGCTGGAATCTCATATGCAGGATCAAACCTCATATAAAGCTGCCATTGCGTATCATCTTTTAAATCTCAAAACAGAAACATAGTCATATACAATGTAGATAATATGTTCTAGGACGCCATCCATAGACTATTGAGAACTTTTAAAGATGCAAAAAAGCATTTTACTTTACACCCACAAAGAAAAGACTGTGACTATTTGCATTCAAAAGAAACCACAACCCTATGTGAAAAACACATTCTGTTATTTATGCTATATATATCTAAGTCTTAAATAAGAACAATAATTACAAAAACTCATAAAAGAGATTCATTTCAAGCAATTTTGTTAAACACATATTTATCAGATGAATGAGCTCCTCTAAGGCACTCTCAGTGTGTTAAGGACATGTCATGAATTTTTTAACTACTTAATAATACATTTGCTTCAGGGGTGACTCAGTTTAATAAATCATATAAGTTGCAATACATTTTATCACATATTTATGGACAGAGATATTCCAATTTCTTAAGCACTGCTTTTCTAACTATTAAGAAGCAGCTTAATATAACCAAGGGACAAAATAACAAAAAATAATATCATATACAATGAAAAACTCCAAGAAAATGCATTTAAAAGCACCTCTAAACCATGAGATTTTAAGTTTACATTAATGAATATGTCTTTAAGTTATATGCAGCTTTTTGTGTGATGAACATCTTAATGAGAAAAGTATCCATAAATTTCATCACATTATGAAGTTAAAAATTGGTTGTGAGCATTTTTTCTATGTGATGTTGCCATATCAACTCTCGCACTAAACCCAGCAACTTGCCAAGGGTATAAATTTGGGATTCATCAGAGGTTATGTGGACACAAGCAAGGAGCATTGGTCAAGAATATAATTAAATGCATGGGGAAATACTTGTGGTGGTAGTCTTCCCAAACTTTGTAAACACAAATTCAGAACAATTCAAACACTAAACCTGAAAATTCTAGCCCAAAGCAGGCAGACAACAAATTTGAATAACTGGAAAATCACAGCCCTAAGCACAGGAAGATTATTCTATGCCAGAATTAGTCAGAAACTAAAGTGGAAGCTGAAGACCAGTAGCAGTGACCACATCATGCACCTTTCTGAGGGGTGAAGCAAGGAATGGTACAACTTGTATTTAGTAAGACTACTTGTACGCAGTTTTCTTTTCTTTCTTTTTCTTTTCTTTTTTCTTTCTTTCTTCTTTTTCTCTCTCTCTTTCTTTAATTTATTATTTTTTTAAATTTTACTTTAGGTGCATACTATATCTGGCATTTCCCCCCTATGTTATCCCTCCCTACCCTCCCCAGCCCCTGCTGTCCCTCCCCGACCCCCCCAACTTCCCCCGGTGTGTGATGCTCCTCTCCCTGAGTCCACGTGTTCTCATTGTTCAACACACACCTATGAGTGAGAACATGCGGTGTTCGGCTTTCTATTCTTGTGTCAGTTTGCTGAGAATGATGGTTGCCAGATTCATCCGAGTATCTACAAAGGACACAAACTCATTGTTTTTTTATGGCTGTATAGTATTCCATGGTGTATATGTACCACATTTTCTTTGTCCAGTCTATCATTGATGGACATTTAGGTTGGTTCCAGGTCTTTGTTATTGTACACAGGGCAGCAATGAACATACATGGCATGCAGTTTTCTTAACCATGCTTGGATGACCATTTTCAAACCCATGTTTTGTAATTTGTATATGTTTAACCCAATTGTAACAATTTCATCTAATGTCAGAAGACGTAGAATGTAACTATAGTCACTTATAATAATATAACTATGGCACACTACCTTTTTTTTTAAATTAACTAAGAAATGCAAAAATATTATCAATGAGTGCTTGAATCAAAGTATGATGGTTCAACTAAAGTCTAGTTGGAGAGTAAGATACAAATAAACTTAACAATGCCTAGTTTCTAATTTATTTGTTCACAATAAACTTATTTAACTTGTTATCATTAGTCCAGTCAAATTTGTTTCAAAGTTACATGACTAATTTATATTTTTCTTTTACTTCTTGATTTTATACATGAATCAGGCAACATTCTGCTGAAGTAATCCTATTAGATTTTTAACTACGGCCTAAGTAAAAGTGATCAAGTCACCCAGACAAAAGTGACTTCATCTTAAATTATCAAAGTATTTCTGTCAATGTTCATGCCATGTTTTGCAAATAAAAACACTTGAAAACTAATTAATCCATTATAAATTAATAGATGGGATAATACTTCCAATTAAAATGTTGGCCTCATATTTTTGTTTACTGAGTGTAATAGAAGCATCTTTCCTCAAATAAGGAAATGGGAGTTTTTTCACATTGCAAGTTCATGGTAGTCAGTCACAGTAGTGAGTCTTGTTAGTTTCTTTGGTTCATTTTTTCTTTTAATGATAAATGAGCACAGTGGCTAGGGTGGATTGTGCAATGAGGATGGAAAAAAACTGATATGGCTCTGACCTCTATGGATGATTGACTGCAGCAAGGAAAGCTAATGACTGTGGAAGCAGCAACCTTTTACTGCTTTTTAAACTTCAGGACATATGTCAGGACAGTAAAAAGCTAACAAAGTGGGAGCTTTTAACATTGTATACTGTATTTCTTTCTTTGAGTATGCAACAAGAAAGAATAAACAAGAAAGAAATAACAGCTACCAAGGGCCCTTTTCTCATTTTGACATTTTGCATATTATTCCAAGGTGAAAAAGCCCGATTGCAGAATTTCCATTGTAAAACAAACCACATGGGAGAACTGGCTTCAGTTATTGGATAATTAGTTTACGTAGCAATTCATTGCCAAACATTATTTCACAAATGTCCTGTAAACAAACATTGATAATTTGAGGAGAGCAACATGAATCTTTCACCTAACATAGTTATATAGTCTGACTGTGTCTATGGCTTTCAAGATTATCACAGAAAAGCACAGATGCTTATATAACCTTGATTTCTTAAAAAAAGTTCTGTACTGGGTAAAATACTCTTCTTGAAAATGCACAGAGGGAACACTGAGGTATGATGAGGACATCTAGATAACCATCCACATCAGTAATACACAAGCTTATCAATCTGAGGTAATAGATGTCCAGCCATCCTCATGCCTGACATGTGATCTAAAGCACCCAATGGTCTGGGTCAGAAAGACCAGACCCAGTCAACTTGAGCAGTCTAGAGGTTTATAAAGTATGTATGATGAAGGAAAATTAATGCTGAAAATTCACAAAGCCAATTAAGGTCACATTGAAAATTAGCAGAATCAGGTAGCCATGTATTTTACTAATCAGAAATGGAATCAAGGAGGATTATTTGAGAATATAATATACACAGAGCACTCTATCATTGTATATAATATATACAGTAACACATATAAAGATATAAAATGAATAGAAAGTATCATTCCCATTCTAATCAAATACATACTAGATGGGGAGAAATATATGGATCAATTAGAATCCAATGTAAAAGAATGCAAATTTAAGTGGAAAAGTGTGTATTGACTTGCTACAGGTTTCATCTATCATAAACATTTTACTGACAAAGTAATTTGGGAATATTTTGAGCTGAGTTGTAAACCAGTACAAGGTAGGATTTAGAGAAAGCGGGTAAGATGTAGTCCTTCATTGGAAAAGAAACTCAGCTTCAAGGAGAGGCATACATTAATCAGTGAAGTAAAGCAAACAGAAGAAAGCCTGGTAAAAAAGAGATATTTTTGAGTTGGTAATAAGTCTATGAAGGCTGTTCAGCATCGAAGTCTTTGGTGGTTACTATGGGATGAATTGCATTCTTCTGAAACTCACATGTTAAAGCTCTAACCCTACTGCCTCAAAATGTAACTGTTTTTGAAGACAGAATCTTTAAAGAGAAAATTAAGTTAAAATTAGGTCATTAGGGTGGAAATTAATCCAGTCTTGACTGGCATCCTTATAAGAAGAGGAAACTTATACACATAAAAAGAGATACTGGGGTGCACATGCACAGAAGCAGGACCATAGGGAGAAGCAGCAGCAGAGTGGCCATCTGCAAGGCAAGAAGCGAGGCTCAGAGGGCACCAATGCTGCCGACACGCTGATCTTGGACTTCCAGGACCAAAACCAGTGAGAATATACATTTCTGTCATTTAAACCACCCAGTCGGTGGAATTTGTTACAGCAGCCTTAGCAAATTAACACAGAGGTGAAGAGCGTATTATGTGAAAACAGTTTGAGACTATAAACTTTGTTCCCACAAAGATGGAAGGTATGCATTGGGAGAACTCATTTTTTTTTCCATCATCAAATTATCAACTTACTCTTGAACTCTCTTGCACCACCCTCAATTCTTGATAGGATCGATTATCAAGAATTATTCTTAGTGAGAAATTTTAATACTGTAACTATGTATTGACTTCCCATATTCAAGAAAAATAATTGTACTATTAAAAAAAAAACCTCTCAGTATAAACAGAGAAGTATATGGTTCTCTGACTTGCAGAGTAATAAAATCTGTGCCACCATCAGCAAATGACAGACAGTTTCAAAAGTCCCTTTGATTCGACCCCTATCCTATAATAGTCTTGTTATTCAGGGTAAGGACTGCATCTGATAGGAACTATTTTGGTAGTTGCTTTAATTCTATGCTTTGCTCTCATAATAGAAAATTGTTATCATGCTAGGATAAATACTTTTAAAAATGTTATCTATCAGTTTCATTGATGTTTGGGAAAGGTAGCATTTAGTAATGCTTTCTTTTTGCCTTTTTTTTTTTTTTTTGGCAAGGTTGAAGTACTCATAGCAGCCTATAATAGAGTGTGATTTTCTAATTAAAATAAGAATTTTAACATCTCCTACATTCGCAAAAGAGTACCTCCAAGAACAGAAACCTGTGTTTTATCAATCTTTCCACTGACATTTTTAGGAGAAACGTGAGAGGTAAGTGATTTCAACTCTTTGGGGATCTGTATGCTTATTTAAAATGTCTGTGAATCAGCTGTTGTGCTTCATCGTTAAGAGGAAGCAAAACACACTGCCATGTGTGTACCTACGCAACTGTCTTGCATGTTCTGCTCATGTACCCCAAAACCTAAAATGCAATAAAAAATTAAAAAAAAAGAGGATCTAAGATACTAAAGTTCTAATAGTTTCAAACACAAGTTTTTAAAAATGAAAATCTGATCACAACAATTCTCACTTGAAACACTTTTTTGTATCTGCCTAGTTTTTAGAATCAATTCCAAATTTCTTTATATATTTGATGATACTGCATAATTCAATCTCTGCATAATTTTCCAATCTCTGATGAAACTGTATAATTCAATTTCTGCATAATTTTTATCTCACTTCATGGCACCAATCTTCATCTCACATATATAAGAAACTCGATATATACATTCAATTAACTACAAAGTTCTTTCAAGTCCTAGATTACACTATGGACCTCCATATATGCTATTTCATCTGTCCTAGTACCCTAATGTATCATCCTGTCTTACTTGGACTGGCCAACTCCAATTCATGCTTGCTATATCAGCTTATAATTTGCTGCTCCTAGAAACCACCCCAGACAAAGTCTGGAAATCATCTACCTCTTTAGTGAGTGCTGTAATTACACCAGAACAAATGAATGTCTGCCTTCTATGAGCTGTGTGGTAGAGAAAGTAACAAGTTCCAAAGCTTTCTCTCTTCTTCCCTGAGAACACAGAATGGTTCCCAGAGCCAGAAAACTTGATTGGCCCTTAACGAACTTAATAGAATCCTTTCTCCTCATACCCAAATTTACCCTGATATGAAACTTCTAAGAGCAACTGGAATTCAAAGGCTAAAAGACCATGGGTTCTATTCCAGTTTTTCATGGTTTTGCTTTAGTAGAAGATGGCTTCAGTTTCTAGCCTACTAGCAAAATATTTGATGGTCATTCAGACCTTGATAAGTTGCTCAATTTTTAGCAGTTTCATTTATTAGCATTAAAGATATCGTATTGTAATCTTATCTATTCATATCTACATTTTTTTTGAGACAGAGTCTTGCTCTGTCACCCAGTCTGGAGTGCAGTGGCACAATCTCTGCTAATTGCAACCTTCACCTTTTGGATTCAAGCAATTCTTGTGCCTCAGCAACCCAAACAGCTGGGATCACAGGCATGCACCACCACACCCAGCTAATTTTTGTAATCTTAGTAGAGATGTAGTTTCACCATGGTGGCCAGGCTGGTGTCAAACTCTGGACTCAAGTGAGCACCCCCTTCAGCCTTCAAAGGGCTGGAATTACAGGTATGAGCCACTGCACCAAGCCTATTCACATATACTTTTTAAAGCAATAGAAATAATATAAATGACAAAGGAAAATTCAATATAAATATGCAAATTATAACAATAACTTTAGTTTCTCATACTGGCAAAGAAAAAATAATATGACTATTGTGAAGGCAATAGATTCTTTCAAATTAAACCAAAGGAAATCTTTACACAAAGGTCTTCATAGAAATAAAAAATTGATGTTTTCACTATGCTGAAAGACTCATTTAATGATGACTATGAATATGAAGAATTAATCTCTCTAAAACTATGCATTTATATGCAATTTTTAAAAATTCATTTTAATTTAAATCACAGACACTGAAATTAAAATACTAACTATATTAAATACATTCTGATCTACCAACTATATCTTACTCATCTTATCAACTGCCCTGATTCCAATACCATTGTGAAAATAATATCCTATATAATTAAATTCACTTGGTTTAGCATGTTTTCCACATATGCTCTTAAAAAATATTAGTTATATATATGATGTTTTAAGAGTATGAGTGTAATTATATATATGTATATGTTTTAATGAAAGCATACATCTTTATTTGTAAAATATAAGAATTAAAAATGAAAAAGAACTGTAAAATTCAGCTCAACAATTTATATTGTTAAGGCTGACAGTTTAGAGAGTTTTCTATTAATATGATATCAAAATGAACACATCTACTTAAAAGAAACCAGTTATAGACAATAAAACCCAGCACAGCTTATAAAACTAAAGGGGACCAAAGACTGGATCCTCGGTAGGTCTTACTAATTCCACAGCTGAACCAGTGATTTCATGTTTCACAGGGGAAAAGAAAACAAAATAATAATTTTTATAAAAGCATAAAAGTGTGAGACTTTGAATTGTTTTCCCATCTGACAACAGAGAATAAATAAATTATACCGGCAAATAGTTGTGCCTAGAAGGGACATCAATGACCATAAGAACCAACTCTTCGTTACACATATGAGAAGATGAGAACTTATTTGTCCTGGATAATAAAAGTGGTTGCTGAGAGAACACAGGCCCCAGTCTTCTAGATCAATATTACTTCCCCTTAGAACACTAAGGTTCTGCTAACAAACAAATCATCATATCAGCTGACTCTAATCCACCGAGATATGCTTACATTGAGCACGGTAAATGAAGAAGTGCACTGGAATTGCTGTAATGGCATTGTGTTTTCCTTATCTATCCACCCCCACAACTCATCTTGTACTTTCCTCACATTTATATGGGGAAATGGAAAAAATATTTTTAATATGTTATTTCTTTTCTCAGTTTGATGAAATGAATATTGGACCAATTATATTATGTATTTATAATTATAATAAATGCTTATTATTTATATGTGCTAAAGTCACATTACGTGCTATATACATAATATTTTATTTTATATTTATGATACAGATATTGGTACCCCGAATGTATAAATTTGGAAACTGTACTTTAATTGATGAAGATTATTCAGATGAGGACCCAGGTCTCAAATCTAGATGCATCTGACACCAACTCATGTGCTGTGAGCCATGTCATATACCACTTCAAAATCCTTTCCTTCTACATCTGGTATTTACTCAGTGTATTCTCATAGATCCTTGAATGCACACTGTTTTAGCTGCCATAAAATAGAATGACCTCAGATTGTGATCACTCTCTGTGAGTGCTATACTACGTATGTGATCTGTGTCCAGTATTTATTGGTCATATTTATTGGTGTCATAAGAAAGCATAGATATAAGTCCTGTTGTTAATTATTATTCTACCATTGCATATTCAAGTCTTGGAAGATTTGGATTAGTAAAATATGTCCAAGTAGCTCATGCTATCCAAAACTGATTATGCTGATAAGTCATGTATTAGGTCCTTGTTGATCTCCACTGTGTTCCAAAAATAATACCTTTACATGGTTAAAACCCACATGCATTAACCTTCTTGAACAGTTGCACGTTTTTCCACATGCTTATCTTCCTTTGCTTTTGATGCTTAGATTTTTATCTAAAGGTTTGTATACACCAACACTAGGATCTCTAACCATTATGGTAAGAAAGTGCAATATTGTTATGTGCAGGTTACCAGTGAGGGAAAAGTTAACTAGTGCAAGATGATGTTGAGGATGGAGTCCATAATGCTGAGACTTCACTCTGGACCTCAGAGAGAGTGATGTGATCTCTCTTAATTCAAATTTCTTCACTAAAATGAGGTAATTGCTTCCAATTTTTAATGAGGTCTAGATAGTTTTGGCATTCATTTTAATACGTTTCTATAAACTTTCTACATTGTGTGAAACTTCAGCATGTGAGTAATGGTAGTTTTCAAACAAACTATCATTAACTAAATGTAAACAGAGGCTTTGAGAGGGGCAAAATTCATTTTTTGCTCAATGTTAAATTTGAATATTGAAAGAAAAATTGGTATGCCAAAAAAAAGGTAGAAAAAAAGATCGTTTAAGAAATATCCTGTATCCCTGTTTACATCAAGTAGAGCAAAAAGACAGAGCAATTAAAAAAGAGCAAGATGGTGTGATAGTTAATTTCTATTGCAGAGAGACTTGGAGAAAGCCTGTTGTGTCATGAAGATGCAGCTGTAGAAAGAACACATGCAACGTGTCATCAACAGAAACGCCATCTCCCGTTTGGCAGAAAATACCAGTTGGTTAACATATAATTATTATTGACTAAAAATAGCCCAGTGGTAATTATCTCAGCTTAGCTTTATTTCGCTGGATGATTATATTTCAGCATGGTGTTTGTGTGTAGTCAACAAGCATTTCTAGGGACATAAACACAAACTGTGAAGAGCTGCCTTTTTTTCTATTTCCAACTCAAGTGTTGTTTCTTCATTCAAGTTATGACAAATAGTACTTGAGTATCTCTACGAGGGGACAGTCACTGTAATAAGAGTGAAGAGGCAAAAATCATACAATAAAATGCAGGGCAGGGTTCAGAAAATAATCTTGTATGTAGAAATACTTTATCTACCACAAACAAAGAAATACCCAAGTTCTTCCTAATGCCCTCAAGAACCTGCCTATAAGGAATAAGATGTCAATGAGACTCAATGTAATAACTTAGTTTTAGGGAAGAGGCGAGAGTATTTTATAATGAATGAGAATGCTAAATAATGAAAGACTAGTTCACTATAGAGAAGTCAGGTTAAGTAAGTCTATGAAATTGATTTATTTACCAAATAAGTAATAACAAAGAGGCTCTACGATAAATAATCACATACTGAAAACTACTCTTTTGTGAGTATTTTCCTAAGAGTTTCCCAAATGCCTCATGCATTAGGTTGATTGACTCTAGAATGCAAGAGGTGTTTTGTTGCTAGTGGGTGTTATAATTCATGGACATTACTCTAATGTGACTCTTCCCACCATCCTATCCACTTAAAATTCTTTGGGTGACAACCACTCTTGACTTCATAATATTAGGCTCAAGAAGGTCATTATTTAGTTCATTATATAAGTTACTTATTCATTAAAAAAATGAAATTCTAAGCATCCAGCACATGTGAGATGTAGCAGAAAGTCTAACAAAATACGAATGATTCCTTCTCAGAGTATTGAGGGGCAAACAAAAATTAAACAAATTAATACACAAGTTACAATTAACTTATATAAGAG